GCGGAAGAAGATGGAATGTGGTGTTGTTATGGTCTTACCATGATAAAGGAGCTGTTGTGTTTTTGTGAAGAGGGAATCCGTGAGGAGAGAGATGGGCGGCGGCTAAGAAGGTGGTCCAGGTGAGGGGAAAAGCTAGGATTTTCTTTTTAAAGGGGAAGAGGGAACTGTTCTTGAGAGAATGGGGAGTCAAAGGCTGCTCGGGTCCTTTTTTGTGTGAAGGGATGTAGAGTTTTTAGGGTGGAGGGATTTAGGCTTGGATTTAGGAAAATTGGGTTGGGTCCAAGTCTTGTTGGGTTTAAATTTGAGCTAAGAAGACTAAAATAATATAATGTATTTATAAAAATATAAAATCACTCTTAATTAATTAAAATAAACTACTAAAATTAAATTAAATATTAAAAATGAAACTATTTTTTTGTATTTTCAAATGTTATAATAAAGTAAAAAGTAAAAATAAAATAGGCTAAAGTCATGGTAAAATTAAAATACTATAAATATAAATATACTAATTGACCTTAAACTAAAAAATAAAAATATTTTTGTGCTTTTAAAATTGAATTTGAAGTAAAAATTGACTAAAACTCCATAAAAATTAAAGTTAAGTTAAATAAATATTTTAAACACTAAAAATAGCTCAACAACGTGACGGGACAAAAATTACGTGCTTACACACATAATCCGGGGTTTCATACCCTCAGGATCAAATTTAGAACTGTTACTTACCTCAAACCGTGTAATTCTTTATTCTGCAATGCCTTTGCCTCGCGAATCGGCCTCCAAACGCCTCGAATCTATCCACAAAGAATCTGATTCAGTCAATAAAAATTATAGGAATTAGTTCCATATGAAAATATAAATTTTCCATCAAAATTCGAAATTTCACCCAAAAATCATCCGTGGGACCCACGTCTCAGAACCCGACAAAAGTTATAAAATCCGAAAGCCCATTCAACCACGAGTCTAACCATATCAATTTTACCTAATTCTTACATCAACTCGACCCTCAAATCTTCAAATTAAACCAAGAGAGTTTTCTAAACTTTCCAACTTAATTCACCCATTAAATGTTTAAATTAACCATGGATTTGAGGGTCCCATTTTGACCAATAATGAGTTAAGAATACTCCCATTGTTTTTTCTTGAAAATCTCCCAAAAATTTTCTCTTCCCGAGCTCCAATCCGTCAAAAATAAGTCCCATTTTCAGAACAAACATTTTGTCCAGGCATTCCTTCTTCGCAAACGCGATAGGTCCCTCGCGTTCGCGAAGCACATTTTTGTGCTCCCTGGATTTCCTCCTTCGCGAACGCGAGCCTAGTCTCGCGAACGCGAAGACCAATTTTCCCAGGCCGGCTTTCCCTTTCGCGAACGCGAGGCCTCGACCGCGAACGCGAAGCCTTGCCCCTCGACCATTCGCCCCCGGTCGCGAACGCAAAGCTTTTCCCATCGACCATTCGCGAACGCGTGCCCTGGTCACGAACGCGAAGCACAAAATGGGCCAGTCCAATTTTCCTCTTCCCGAACGCGATGAAGGAAACCAGATATAGGCATCAGAAAAATTTCAGCAGTTGTTTAAGTCCAAATTTCGATCTGTTAACCATCTGAAACTCACCCGAGGCCCCCGGGACCTCAACTAAATACACCAACAAGTCCTAAAACATCATACAAACTTATTTGAAACCTCAAATCACATCAAACAACGCTAAAATCACACCCCAATTCAAACTTAACGAAAACTAACGAATTCCAACTTCTACATTCGATGCCGAAACCCATCAATTCAATTCCGATTGACCTCAAATTTTGCACACAAGTCATAAATGACATAACAGAGCTATGAAAATTTTCAGAATTGGATTCCGACTCCGATATCAAAAAGACAACTCCCCGGTCAAACTTTCAAACTTAAATTTCTATTTTAGTCATTTCAAGCCCAATTTAGGTACAGGCTTCCAAATAATTTTATGGACACGCTCCTAAGTTCAAAATCTCCATACGGAGCTATTGAAATCATCAAAACTCTATTCTGGGGTGGTTTACACATAAGTCGACATCCGGTCACTATTTTAACTTAAGCTTTAAACCTTGGAACTAAGTGTTCCAATTCATTCCAAAACCTTACCGGACCCGAACCAATCACCCCGGCGTATCACATAACAATTATAAAGCATAAATTAAGCAGTAAACGGGGGAACGGGGTTATAATACTCAAAATAACCGACCGGATCATTACAGGTTATCTCCCCTTTAGTGGTCTCGCATGCCATGTTAAATCCATTTAAAACTCGAACTTTAGAAACTATTTGGTCTTGTAGACCCAGCTGTTCCACGACCCTCGATCTGATGATATTGGCCGAGCTACCTGGATCAATTAACACACTCTTAACTTAAAATTTATTTATGAGTACAGATATTACTAGTGCATCATTATGTGGTTATACGATGCCTTCAACGTCCTCGTCGTTGAATGATACTGTTCCTTCCGATACGTAATCTCGAGTCCATTTTTCAATTATAATGGACACTTTAGTGCGCTTTAACTTCGGCCCTTGGGGGACGTCAACTCCTCCAATGATCATGTTAATTACGTGTTGAGGTTCCTCTTGCTCGATCTGCTTGTTGGCGTCCCTATTCCTGAAGTGATTTTTGGCTCGATCACTTAGAAACTCTCAGAGGTGTCCGTTATTGAATAACCGGGCTACTTCTTCTCTCAGTTGTCTGCAACCTTCGATTTTGTGGCCGTAAGTGCCATAATATTTACACATTAGGTTGGGGTCCCTTTGGGCAGCATCGGATTGCAACGGTCGAGGCCACTTAGTATCTTTAATTCATCCGATGGCTGATACGATGCCAGCAGCATCGGCATTGGAGATGTATTCTGATAACCTTTGTGCTTCCTTGGACCCGATGGGTCTATCAAAACCATTTTTGCTCGAGTCCCTTGTTATTATGACCTTGATCGCTTCTTCTTTCATTCCTTGCAGGGTTGCGCCCGGAATCATTACTCCTTCGATCTCCATTGTATGGTTGATACCGATCTTTGTTTGATATTGGTTCATGATCAATGACTCTTTTAGATCTGTCACTAGTCCTGACGGGATAAACGGATCCGGAAGGGGCCCCGAGCTGATCGTCTTCTAACCTGATTTTTGATTGGTACCTATTATGGACATCGGTCCAAGTTACCGCCTGGTATTCTATTAAATTTTGCTTCAACTGATGTGAAGCCAATGAGCTTTGGGGGTTGAGTCCTTGGGTAAATGCCTAAATGACCCAATCATCCGCGACCGGGGGCATATCCATCTGTTCCATTTGAAACCTCGACATGAATTTCCTGAGCACCCCGTTATCTCTTTGCTTCACCTTGAAAATGTCTGACTTCCTGGTCTCGAGCTTGATAGTCCCGACGTGCGCTTTTACAAAGGCATCTGCAAGCATAGCAAACGAGTCGATAAAACAAGGTCTCTCCGAACTTTTTCAGCAGAACAGATTCAATTTCATCATCTTCCAAGTCGTTCCCCTTGATGGTGCACGTGTAGGAAGTCACATGTTCGTTTGGACAAGTCTTTCCATTATACTTCGGAATTCGGGCATACGGAACTTCTTCGGGATCGACTTCGGAGCTGCGCTTAGAGGGAAAGGCTTTTGGACAAACTTCTTGGAATCCAGGCCTTCCGGTATCGGTGGTGCTCCTGGGATTTTATCGACCCTGGAGTTATAGGTCTCCACTTTTTTGTCGTTGGCTTCGATTTTCGTTTCTCCCGATTTCACTCGTTTTGTTAGTTCCTTGAGCATCTTTATTATATCGGAGTTGGTCCCGGGTTCAGCCTCACTCGGCCTTTCTGTGACTAGTTCATTTCTGTGAGTGTTTTCCCGGGATGTTTCGGGCTCAACTCTAATGGGGGCGCGACCCTGGTTCTGCAACTGGGCTATCACTGCCCGTTGATCCTGTAACATTTTGAAGATCACCCGCAAGTTGATCCCATTGCCTTTTGTGTGTACTCCGGGCTATCGATAAGGCTCCCTCGCGAATGCTGTTTTCGGGATCGGTTGGCAAGTTTGCTTCGATAACCACATGTGAGTCAGCACCGATCGGGTCCGCGACTGGAACTCCGTTGGGGTCAACAGGTGGCGCCTCGTCGTGGTGGCCGGATTCAACATCAACGTTCAAATGGGCAGATTGGGAATTTGACATTTTTAATTTGACCTGAAATTAGGAGCTCAAAGAATAAGTGCAAAATAGAGTGTATTATGGAAATTTGTATCAAATTGCCACTATTATCCTTGGCCCCACGGTGGGCGCCAAACTGTTTACCCTAAAAACGGATAACAATTAAATTTATTTGTGATTTTAAGCATACGCGGATTAAGTCAATACAAATGATAAATTGCGTTAGATTAAACAAATAAAGGACGTAATAAATTGTCAAACCAATTAAAGGGGAGTGATCCCGGACTCAGTAACAACTTTAATAAAATGTCTGCCTTCGATCCCGAGCTCACGATAATGAAGAAATGATGAACAAAAGTAAGAACTTTGAATAACAGAAAAAATAAAAGTATATTGCCTTGATATGCATGTTACAATGATACCTAATGAATAGTTAGACTGCCCTTAATATAGTAGGGGAATTTTACCCTAAGTAATTCCAAAAGAGGTAAAAATCTTCTGTTTTACTAATCACTGATTTTCTCTCGATACGTGCCGAGATTTGCGCCGTAACATTCGGCTGGGCACATATATCACAACCCTTTGTTTGTCGTGCTCGATTATCTGGTAATGCTTTCCGAAGTTTTAAGGTTCGAATCGGACCTGGGGACGTGACCCCGATTCTTCCAAGGGCAGGTGTATTGCCCGGACCCCGACTCGAAGGGCTCCTTGCCCCGATTCCGGTTCCTTACAATCACATCTCTTCTCCGTTTACTTCATCGGGAACCGAGGCGTCCAAAGGGCTCGGTTTCACCCGTATACACGTAAACATTCTCACTTTGAGAGAAAGTGTGTGAATAGAGACATATGAAGCCAAATATACATCTTTCTACACATAATGAAATAGCAATAAGATTATATGTTTTGATTATTTCCACATATACATTATGATATAGGTTCGGGATAATGTGAAAATCTCTTCTAGTGAAGAATTTGCTCATCGATCTTCGCGACGAACTCTGTTGGGGTCAGAAACCATATCCATCATCATTTTCTCAGGTGAATCTTCCCAATTTCCAAATGTTTTCAAGTCAACCTGCAGATAGATATTGAAAATACAGAAACTATTTTTATCATGCTGCTCATAACGTGATGAAACAGTGAATTAAAGTCCAAACTGTATGTCAATTACCTTTCGTCTTTGGTTAGTAAAAAGTTCCTCCCTCTTCTTGTACGATGATTGCACATCTCTTGCTCTTTTACCTCCCAATCCCCAAACCTCCACATCTACAATTGAAGCTTCGACGGGTAAAAACCCCTGGCACAAAGACAGTAGGATGAGAGGGAAATTCAGAAGAGAAAAATTAGACACTTCTAAAGAACATTAGTTAGCATTCGAAATATTAGCAAAAAGGCATTCTGAGAGCTATTGCTAGTAAAGTCGCATGTATATTAAAGGACTGCATGTTAAAATGAAGAGTGCAGTTGTTGATTTGTGTCGCAGACTCCAAGCTGACTATCTAAATATGTTGTATTTGTACATATCAATCAATCAATCAACTACCAAACTGCAACTTCATTTTTTGTTATGAAGAAATCCCTTGTGGACTTCTAACTGACTCCAGCTGGCGCACGCGTATAGCTCCGACCCTCTACCCTCTCCCAGCTTAAATACCGATTTTTGTCCGCGGCGGATTCAAATCCATGACGTGTGCCTAACCTACACTATATGTGTTGCTTCCTCACAATTGAAACCAAAGCCCTGGGGCCAAGCACCACGGAGCAACTTCTTCTTTCTGGTCAAGTATTAAAGCATGGGACTTCCTTTTGATGGTGGACCGAGGATTTTAAAGGTCTTGGATGCTGGCCTGCCTTTATCGAAAAGTTGCTATCAATCATCACAAAGTATAAGTACACAACTATTTGAACACGAAAGTAAGAGAATTGAAAGAAAATATCCCTATAGAAGCTCTAAGCCAAAATTTCTCAAGAAATACGTGAGGAAATAGAGGTGAAGATTATCTCTACTGAACAGCAGCACGGTGAAGGGAAAAGGCAAACAGCTACGAAGTGAGAACTTCGTATTCCTGTGTTGCTCAGTTGCTGCTTTTTTGGTTTGGAAAGATAAGGGTTTAAAGCTGATTTGTTTTCTCTCTTTGCCACAATAAAGACAAAAAACGAAAAAGGAAAAAGTAGGCGAGAATAAGTAAGACAACAGAATCCAAAGTTCTGAGAAAAGGTTACATTACCTGGGAATCCAACTATTGCACATCGCTAAACTCGCTCGTCACAGCAGGGCCCCAGACCAATGCACCCATTCCACAGTTTGTACAATGGGTGCTGCTAATTAATTATATACGTCTATAAAAAATACCATGCGATTTCTAGCAACTCAAAGTGTTTTCACACCTCTGTCACATATATGCATCTAAATGACTCCACTAACTAACCTGGTCGGGAAAAAGAGGAGCATGTTGGTAAGTTTTGTCACAAGCATGATGACGAACTGTAACTCTAGCAAAATCTTCATCAATAAATATTCTTTCATTGCCAGAGGATCCTCCAAAAGCAAGTCCAACAGGCTTTGGATGAGCTTCATATTTAACGGTTGCATGCAAGTGGCTGTAAACAAAGTTTTTCTCCCTTCCTGCCAAAAAACAAATACTAGCTTTATTGCATATCATTAATAATGTTTCTTTTCATTAAGAAATTCTCTGAGCAGGTAAGACCAGAAACGCTACCTGAAGGTGTTAACACCTGAAAAACTGGACTAATGGAGTATAAATTGCCAGATGACCCGTAGAAAGTATCTTGATTTTCTAAACCCTGCTGAATGAGAGCACCAATAGTCCATCTCCTTGAATCGTTATTGACCTCATGAGCAGAGAGAAGAATTAGCAATGGACCATTATATCCTTCAACATTTGACCAAAATCTATTCAGACCTTTTCCATGAAGAGAAGACCTACAGGTTGAGGGAAAATGAAAATCAATTTAAAAAGTATATAATGTGACAGAAGTTCCGGAAATAGGACAGAAGATAAATAAACAATTCCCAGAGCTTGACTAATAGTCGACCTAGGCCAGGTACAAACCGATAAAGTAGGTAGTCATCTACTTCCTCCACAGTACTTGGAAAACATGCCTTTGACATCTCTTCACTCATAGTGCTCCTCAATGTAAGTGAGATAGCCCAAGCCCTTCCACAAGTAAGGAGATTGCCAATGCTCATTTCCCTTGCAGAAATATCATGCAAGAAAAGGTCCGCTTGCTCTAGTTTTTCCTGCTGTTAGTTCAACTTCAGAATTAGTAATTGCGTATTCTAATTTCTTTGTCACGGCTTAGTAAGCATCCATATGTAATATGGCATCAAGGGCGAAATTAACAATTGAAAATGTATAACAGTTTATTTTCATGTCCCATCAAAAGACAACAACACAATCAGCCAGAAGATGAAATTTCCAACTTTTGTAACAAATTCTAGTTCTTCTACCAGTCTTTTTAAATCAAGGACATGGTCAAGAAGTGGAGGACGCAATAGTCTTGAAAGATGACAAATATCCAAAATAACTGCAGGTTCTCTGTTCTTTTCTAGCACCAAGAAAATGCCATGATGTACAAAAAAAATGTCTAGACTTTACTCTTTTTCAATAAAGGAGTCGTCAACGAAATCCAAGACATATCTATATTCTTTACAAGGAAAAAATCTACAGGTTCTCCTCAAACGCAGCATGTGAGAAAACTGGATGAGGCATAACATGCATGGAAGTAATTTGTAGAACAAGGAAAAGCTTACAAAACGGAAACCACTTGCACTTGAAGTATGTTTTTCCTAGTAAAATACACATAAAAGCAAATATAGACCTCAAGACTGTGGTTCATGGATCACTTATTTTTCGCTCCCAGCCAATTCAATTTCTCCCCACAAGGTTTCAGAAGTATGCCGAGATTAGATATGACAATTGTAAGCATACTCAGAAGAAACATCGAACTGACAGAACTTCGAAATCTAACCATCACTTCAACAAAAGAAAGCATCAAGTGCACGACACCTTTGATAAAGGAACTAATTACTCTTGTATTTCAGAATATTGTGCATTGTAAATATTTAGTGACTGACTTCTAAGAAAGATTAGCTTATCAAAAACAACACATAAGGAGCAGAAACTCCTTGGTAAAAACATAGATGAATGGATATTCATAAGATTAATTTTCTTTCTTTGGGGGCAGGGGCGGATCTACCTAGGGGATCAGGGGTGGCACGGCACCCGGACGCTCGGATAAAACTTTATGTACTGATATTTTACTCGAAAACATGTATATAGGAAAAGGGTGGCACCCGGAAGTCACGAAATGACTGTGGGTGCCACAGTTGAACCGCCAAATTCCCACACGCAGGGCTCAGGATTGAATCTCGTTGCGTTCTCAAGCTGGTGTATTTGTCCCTCGTGGTCCTAGTTTGCTCCTCTTCTTAATTCCTTCTATTTTTTTCAGTTTTGTATTTCCTCTATCTTTACAACCTCATTATTATTATTATTATTATTATTATTATTATTATTATTTATTTACAATTATATATCTACTTTCTTTTTCTCATTCTAGATCTTCAAATTTTATTTGAATGTGATTTTAATTATTTTCTTTTTTTATCCATCTAATGTTATATTTTTCTTGATTCTCAAATTTTTTTAAGTGAAGGCATCAATAAATGTAATATTAATCTAGCTATATGTAGATTGAATAGGTATATTTGCGAACTTAAATTTTATTTTTATTTTATGTTTTTTAATCACATTCAATAGAATTTGAACTGGGAGAATTTATCGAATTGGATAAAACTTATTTTGTTTTGGAAATCACGTATATTTATTTATGCTTTAAAATTTTGATAAGCTGAATTAAGTTATTTCAAAATGGATCGGACTGAACCAAATCGAACTAATTCAAAACAGATTGAACCGATAGAATATACACACTACTTCAATCTCCTTCGCTAGTATCGATTTACATTAAAAATAGTGGCACCCGTAGTCATCAAATTCCGGATCCGCCTCTGTTTGGGAGAATATATATATATATTTTCTTTTATTCCACAAGAATTTATTCTTGCTAAATCCTGTGGACATATTGAAACATGTCATGTACTCTACGTTGTATCTTAACATTTTACCATTGTATCTTTATGATATTAAAGATCAACCAACACAAAATGGATTCGTGCAATTCAAAAATTGAAAAGGAAAGTACCTCATGGGTTGCTATGTAACAAATTCTCGCATGGATGAATTGTCCAAAGCAGTCCGCAAGGCTTGGTACTGTCTTCAAAGCCCACAGTACAATCTTTGCAGCAGGAAGTTGCATATCCAAGTCTAAAATGTTGTTCTCCCATAAATCCAATTTGCTATCAGCTTCAGTGCAAGAGTCTATAGCTGACAACACCAAATGTGTAACATCTGGAAGACCGGAATCCCCTAAATTACCAGAAGCCTTCAACTTCTTCGAATCCCACCACATAACCCAACACATCCAAAGAAGCATCTGCACATCAACAGGCGATAAAAATCCACTAATCTTACTATCATCCTCATCAGAAACAGCCTGCAGTTTTTCCGGAAGACCTGCCTTGACACACGTCATCCCAAATAATCTTAACAAATTATTGAGTGAAGCTGAACTAACTGCCCGTCCAGAACATTTTGTATAGCCTTTTAGGAACTCAACCCAACTAACACCTCCTTTTTCAGACAAGAAAAACAAGTCAACTATTGAAGAACTCAAATGACTCAACAAAACTGGAATTTCCTTCGGCACTGTCGATTCTTCACTTGTTGATCCCTCAAAGGAGAACCCAAAACA